ACCCTTTTCGAATCCATTTAGCCGATCTCCGGGTTTGGCGGTAGCACTTTTAGCTGTAGCTTAGCATAGACTATTGAATCTGATTAGACCGTTAGCATCTCGCTCAAAAATGACCAAAGAGTTTCTATATTTTTCCAGCGCCTGAAAATAGTCCCCAGCTAGGTAACTTCCAATAAGCCTATTTTCAGGCGCTGCGTAATATCATTGCGCCTGCTGCACTCATGGTACGGCAGCAAAGTTCCTTGATTATTACGCCGGAGTGAGAGTATAGTTCCTAGCCATATCGGCCTAGAAAATCGCAGCTTTTCATTTTCCGTCGGTCTTAGTGCACGATGAAACTACAGAGGAGTCAAGTTTTAAATAGGAAAAATATCAAAACTCTTTGGTCATTTTTGAGCGAGATGCTAACGGTCTAATCAGATTCAATGATCTATGCTAAGCTACAGCTAAAAGTGCTACCGCCAGACCCGGAGATCGGCTGAATGGATTCGAAAACGGTAAAACTGAACTGTTTAACTCTAGGGGAGTTGGAAAATTTGCATATTTTCAAAAATAGTGGAGTGTTCCTTTAAATAGACACAATAAAACACCCAATTACATCCGTTTATACAAGTATCCCACGGGAACTACAGGTGCATCTCAATAAATTATAATGTCGTGGAAAAGTTCATTTATTTCAGTAATTCAACTCAAATTGTGAAACTCGTGTATTAAATAAATTCAGTGCACACAGACTGAAGTAGTTTAAGTCTTTGGTTCTTTTAATTGTGATGATTTTGGCTCACATTTAACAAAAACCCACCAATTCACTATCTCAACAAATTAGAACACTTCATAAGACCAATAAAAAAAACATTGTTAGTGAATTGTTGGCCTTCTGGAAAAGTATGTTCATTTACTGTACATGTACACAATACTTGGTAGGGGCTCCTTTTGCTTTAAATACTGCCTCAATTCGGCGTGGCATGGAGGGGATCAGTTTGTGGCACTGCTGAGGTGGTAACGACATTCTAATTTATTGAGATGCACCTGTATCTATAGTTCTATACACATGAACAATTACAATAGCTAAATGTAACATACGCAATCTGTCGCGGTTATTTCCCGCAATGCAAACTATAATTAGGCCCCACCAACAAAGTTAAATGTCAACTCGACTTAAAAACATATATTGTGGTATTTGTGACGGTTAAATCTTTGATAAAGTGATACACGATGACTTTATTTGTCATGCTTTATCAACGTAGCGCCCAAA